GCAGGGTTTACGGTCTCCAATTTGCTTTTCTAGTTCGTACCTCACCTAGAGCAATCGGGGACTCAGAGCAGCTGGAGAACAGAGATACTGTCAGAAATATTACAGGGGGGTTCCCCTTTGCTACAAGTTTGAGACTAGCAGGAAAGGTACGTCTGCCCGGAGCCAGCTCGGCTCGCTGCCCTGGGAGGAAGTTGTTTCAAGGGCACAGGTAAGAAATTTCCACGTTTAAAAAAAGCGCTCTTACACATGATCCCGGGCAGGACAATACTATCGGACTTTCCAGGAGCTGTTACCACAGAGAAGTGGTTCGGATCCGGTTTGGGAGGATTTCTCCCCACATAAACCATATTTCATACCCTGTTCAGTACCCAAAGCTACCTTATCCTGCCTGGAGGCTGTCTCCCATCAACAAGGCTGCTCACTTTGTGCCAAGTTATTTTCCTAACTTGTTTCTAGCAGGATTTCCATTCTCTTGTCTCTGGAGACTTCTGCTGCTTTCCTAAAAGCATTTTCTATTTGCATTTGTCACAGGCCACAGAAGTGGTTCTCGGCCATTATCAATTAATGCATTTTCCCCCCCGTCAGCTTAAGGCGTTTAAGCCGACGTCTGTAACTCATTCGGACCCGGAGGGGATGGTTAAGCTGGCTCGGGGACAGCCGCTGCCCGCAGCCTGGGCTCTCAGCGCTCCGGAGCAAAGGAGAGCACAGGAACAAATCCCTTCCCAGGCCGTGCGGCACACGGGCAAGTGGAGGCTGGAAATGTTTCCGTAAGAGCCGGAGCAGGGCTGGATTTCAAGCCCCCGATGCGCCAGGCACGCTGGGAACGCACACACGGGGTGAGCTCACATTGACTCAGAAGTCATGGGAAGGGCCAGGCACCTACATTTTTCTTTTTTTTTTTCCAAAACTGCGAGAATTCCAAGATTTCATTCCTTTCTGCAGGGAGGATGCTAAGATGACAGGGAGTTTCTTTACTGGTGCCCCACGGCTGTACCAAACCGGTGGCACACAAGGGACCTGAATCGAATCAGCCCAAGCCGACACCGCGCTGGGTCCGTGCCCGTGCGCTCCTCTCTCGCTCCCAAGCTAAAGTGCAAAGCGGTAAATCCCACCACGTTTCAAATGAGGGGGGGAGGAAGGGGTAGAGTAACATTTAAAATGAAAACCACAGCGTTTAGTCGGGCCAGATTAAGAAATAACCCTGGGGTGAAACACGGATCCAATGTCGCTGGTCAGTCTGCGGGAGTTAGGGGTTAGTTCTGGTCTCGGTTATCATGCAGAGGCCCCGGCCGGGTGAGTCCTGGTTTAGTGCCGGCTGTCACACCTCACAGGCAGAGGGTACCTGGGCTGGTTTAGTTATCAGGCTGGATGTAGATCTGGCGCTGGGTCAACACTTGAGAAAGCTCCCTCTGCAACTGCTTATACTTTTGGTTGTCGGGGATAGCATCGATAGATCTACAGAGAGCAGTTTAGAAACGAGGGAATCAACAGGGAAAAGAACAGTCAGAAGAACTCGAGAACACAGAGCCGGGATTCCGGAAACCACCAGGAGAGAACAAGTGTCGCTTCCCAGGTTAGAAGGAACAGGAGGAGCCTAGAGGAAAAGCCGAAGCCGCACGCTTGGTGTGTTACCGGTGCTGAGCAGCTCATCTCACCAAGGCACAAAATTCCACGACTCAAACTGAGCAACGGGGACACACGGGAAACAGATTCAAATACAAAAGCTAAAGGCAAAGCTCAAAAGGAGAAAGACCGCACCACGTACTTCCTTCTCGTGGGAATAAACGCTTCCTGGCTAAAGCCCTGCACACCACAAACGAACACAGAGGCCTCGTAGGAAAGCTGGGGGTTGGAAAAAAGAAAAAACAAACCAACAGCTGCGTTCTCAGATCCTCTCAACTCCCTCTGCCCGTGCTGTTAAGGCAGCAGCACAAATATTTAATTAGCACCATTATTCCATCTTCTTTCACAACGCAGCGTGTGCGAGCACAGCACCGGCCTTATTTGCACCATTTGTTTCATGCTACGTTATCACGGTGTGCTCGGACGTCCATCCATGGTTTAAAATGAAATTATTTTACATCACAGCTCTCTACTTTCTTCTGCAATCACGAGAACTACCAGCTGGGAGTTTCTATGAGAAATTCCTCACCAGAAAGGAGCAGGGCTTGAAGGGGACAGTACAGTCGCCCCCCAGCAGGGTGCAGGGGGTTTATTCACTTCCTCTGCTCCAGCACGCTGCACTCTGACCAGCGGTGCCGAACGACAGAAGTTAAAGCAAAGTCTAAATACCGCAAGACATTCATGCCACGACTTAATGCTGGGATCAACTGACTGTTTTTAAGAACAGCAGAAAGAGAAGTCAGAATTTAAGTACACCTGTCAGGACTCGGAAGAATAAAACTCCTAATTAAAAATAACCCTGAAATACAAGTGTTGCTAATTGGGCTGTTTTCTTCCTGGTGAGGGATTAAAACGTCGCTTCCAATTTCTACCGTTACAAGGTAGAAGCGTTCCCTAAACTCCGCACGACAAAACGTTTCCAAAGCACAGCGAGGGGTTGGAAAAACCTTTGTGTGCGGAAGGGCAGCTCCAGCAAAGCGCAGCAGGTCGGGGCTGGGGCAGCCCCACGGGTGCCGCGGGGGAACGCGGGGAGGGTCCAACGGTCGCCCGGAGAGCCCCTTACCTCAGCCCATTAACGATGTCCTTCGTTTTCCCAAAATAAATCTCGTTCAGCGTACTTCGGATTTTGTTTTCCATGTCCTAGGGAGAAAAACAAAAGCAAGGAATCAGATCTTTAGCCGTGTCAGCCGCGTGCAGACGGGCATCGCGCGTGTGCTCCCCTCGGCGCTCGGCACCGCCGCACGACTCGACTCGCGCGTTCTCGCTGTTTCAGTTCTCACGGGAGGCAGAGGGATCCGATCCCATCCCTCTGCTCTCATCAGAGAAACGAAGGCTCAAGCTCCATCGCCATCCTCTCCCACTTCATCACGGCTGAGATGTGTGTCTGCGCCACGAGAGGGCAGGTTCTGCCCAGTTATCGCTCCTGCCTTCAGCCGCAGAGAGAGAAAAACCATCTGAGCCCAGGCTCACCCTGCTCTGCCGCTTGCCGGCCCTGGGCAGCCCGGGAGCCGGCAGCCAGTCCTTCGGCACAGCCCACAGGTCACTAGTTTTGAGCTTATGGGTTACTTGGAATTTTTGAGCTGCTGTCTCCCCATCAAAACTACGCAGCAAAGAGTTTTGTGAGAAGAGCTTGTAAACGAGCATTTTTTCATTAGGATGCCCAAGTCAGAAACTTAAAAAAACGGGTCCAGAAAGAAGTACCCGCCTGCCTTGCACTTCCCAGTTCCTTTGAAAAAAAAAAACAAACCAAAAAAAGCAGCATTATAGTCTATTTTAGTTGCGAATCAATTCCTCTCTTGCAGAAATCAAGAACACCTTGGCACAGGACAGCGAACCAACGCAGTCGCACCCTGCGCTCGCTGAGCTGAGCAGGCCCGACTGAGCTGCCGCCCAATCTCACACTAAAAACCATCCCAGTGGCTTTAACAGGGCACTTAAACACACTGAACATCAGTTCAAGGGACAGTTCTGTGTAACACAACCTGGCTTTAAGCAATCCTGCCCCAAACTGCCCGGCGAAGCACCGTGGGTAGGAAACGACAAACCAGTTGTCAGGACAGGAGCGCTCGTCTCCAGGACGGTTCTTGCTGTAACGAGCAGGAGACAAAGCGCTTGGTGGCACTTTTGTTTCTACAAAGTCATGTGAAGAGCAGCACTGAGCCATCGAACCCCGAGCAACATCAGCACGATTAAGCTTTATCCGATAGGACTTGTTTGTGAAGACAAAAGCAAGCGCACGACAAAATTCTTAAGATAAGGAACCAAACGCAGGGAAGGGAACCTGCAGCAGGCTCCGGCCGACGCAGCACTTACCTCTACCAAGCGTCCGATGTTGGCTATGTGGGGAGAGGAGTCGCTCACAGTCTCGTCTTTCTCCATCTGGAAAGGAAAGACACAAGGTGGGTGGGTAACGCGGGATCTGACGCTGGATGCGGGACAGCTCTCCTCACCAAGAGGGGATGGGAGAAGCGGGTCTCCCAGCCCTGCACTAACTCTTCTTTCAACGTGCAAATGGGGCAGTAACGTACCGAGAAACCCCCAGAACCTGACAAAGGCTCACGTGGTGAGAACAGAATTGCAGCATAAAAGCCCGAATGAGAATAACTCCCTGCCGTAGATCCCTGGCGCAGACGGGTGTGATGGAGCCACCGCTCCTTGCCCGCGGCACGGCTGCGGGAGATTTGCGGCGGCAAACACGTAACACGACGAGGAGCGCAGTGACGTGGACGTGAAAACAAGGCTGTCGACGAGACACACGCCAGGACGGTGCTGGCAGTTCAACAGCTGCGAACCCCCCCTGCAAACCCGGCCGTTTCTTTTAACCTTCTTCTCAAACGCTGCTTCCCACCAGGCGTCGGGCACGGTCTCCGTTCTCAAGATCTTCCGGGAAAAGCCACCTCGGGCATTACCTGCCTGCCAGCAGAGAGGGAAGGTGCAGGGAATACAAAACCCACAGCTACCCGCGGGACTGGCGATGATTTCAGCTACTGCACTCATGTGGAAGGACAAACGGGAGAGTTTGTAGTTCTCTGTTCTCTTTTCTGAACAAAAAGCGGAACCACCATTTACCAAACTCTTCGGGAGGAGCTGGTATGAAGCAGTAAGCGCGGGCAGAAAGGAGCCAACCACCTTTTGTGGTAGAAAGTCAGATCAGTTTATACAAATACCAAACTTCTAGTGTAGTGGCTGAACAGGAGACAGAAACCTGAGCTGGGTGAGGTTTTTCATCACTGAGATCAAATACTGGGAGCCGGCACTGCAGAACTTGCTTTATGTTGTCTGACTTCACCCCGCGTGGCATCCACGCAGGGGGTCCAACGGCCCGATGCCTGATCCGCACCCAGGAAAAGCCCGTCAGCCCCGGCTGCCGGCGTGGAAATTGTGGCTGGACACGGCCAAACCGCCCAACACGGGACATCAGTCCCAGGGACCTTGGCTGATACAAGATGTGCTGAGACGGCATGAAAACAAAACGGGGAGAAAAAAACCGTAGTGGGAAGAACAGTCTTCAAAGGGTTTGACTAATCCCCCTGAATTCTCTCATCCATCTGTTCATATCCCTCCCTCAGGGTAGAGTTTAAAAATCTGGGCTGGCTACAGGTTCCTTCTAATAAGCTAAGCCTCTGACAGGCTTGGGGAAGCACGTAATTTAGTCGGAACCCCGAAGGCAAAAGATAACCTCGAAAAGGGGGGAGGAAGAGAACAAGGACGTTGAATTTTTCCTTCAGGCCGCACTCCGATTGTTTACACGGGAGGGAGACGCGCTGCCTGGAGAGCGGATCCAGTTGTGTGGAGGGAGAATATAAATCACCATCCGGCGAGTTCGGGAACTATGGGCAAATCGCCCGACTCCGGGGCAGCCGGGGCGCTGGCAACGCGTCCGTTCCTTCCACCGGCTCCCCGCTGCGGTGCCGCCACACTGGGACCGGCTGAGCTCATTGCTAAGGAGCAGGGTCTGAAAACAGCATTTTTTATATTTTTTTTCTTTCTTGCAAAATGTCTATGGTTACATCTCCATAAAATCCACTGCCAGAAGGAAAACATTTTTATACGGTTTAGAAGGCCAGATGTTACGAGAGGCTGCTTTAATGGAGTTTGGAGCCAGTCAGCAGCCGTGTCACACCCCCGGCAGAGCCGGTGGGGTTTTTAAAGGTTCCTTCCGGTGGCCGTAACCGCTCGGACTCCCACACAAAGCCTCGAGCTGCTTAAATAGAGGGGTTCATGTGCTCGGAGGGGGAAATTCCCTTCTGGAAGTTGATGTTAACAAGCAGCTCATCTTCCCACCGTCGCTCCCCATCTGCTGCTGAGCTCAGCCAAAAACCCAACGCTCCCCGTGAGCCAAGGCCGACCCGCTCGGCTCGGCCCCCCCTCTCCCCCCGCTCGGCCGCTCCTCTCCCGCTGGCGATTCCCGCTGCTCCGCGCCCTCAACTCATCAGCCCGGCCGTCTGCCGCCAGCCTGACCCACAGGGAAACTCACTCTGCTGGGGCTAACTCGGCTCTCGCTGGCTGCCTGCTCAGCTCGGGGCAGCAGGTTGGGCTTTCTGTAAACGTTACTTGGAGAAAGAGGTCAGAGGAAGAGAGAAATTTCAGTTGGAGAAACGCTTTGTTTCACCACAAGGCGTCTGAACAGACCAGAGAGATAAGAAGGAAGCTCAGCCACCATTTTGCTCGGAAGACAACGCAGCTGCTTTGGCCACGGAGAGACGTGAAAATCTCTTTAATGAAACGCAAACAGCCCGAGGCGAGCCAGAGGCTCCCAAGCCACAGGCAGTGGGCAGGCTCAAGCCTCCAGGTGGAAAATATGTGGAATTATTTGGATATCAGCGAGGCAGAAGTTGGCCCCTCTCTCTCTCCCCAACGCTTATTTCAAACTGTAACTGGATAAACGAAGGCTGTGAGCTCCACAGCTTGGCAAAAATCGGCTGAGAACTTACCTCATCCCTCCCATGTCCATTTACTCTAAATGCCATAACCAGCGATATCGCGTGTCCTTTACCAAACTGCACGTCCAAACCCAAGAGCAAACCTCGTGTCAGCTCTTTACTAGTCCGTAACTGCTCGACTGTTCTTTTCCTCAACCAGCGATTATTTAACCGAACCACCATAAAATCTGTGCGTTCATGCGAAGCAGAAATAATCTCCCAGACAACGACTGCTCGGTACATCTCCACTATCCCCTGCACCCCAAAATTCTGCTCTGGTGCCTCCAGGGGACTGGACAACTGCAGAAGGGGGAGCGTAAGGATCGTGACAGCTACGACGTGAAGATCCTTTTGGTGGAAAACCTCTCCCTGCCGCCCCACTTCCCGCTCCGACAGCCAGGAGCTGGCGGGACAGGCCTTTACATGAAAGCTCCACTTGACAAAAACACGCCCCCGTGCTGATCCCGGAGCTCGAGCCTCCGAGGGTTTCCCTCTTAGCAAAGTGGCATTTTGCGGGACCAGCCACAGATCCTGCGGCACATCTTTCCAAACGCCGGGAGAGCTGTTTGCAGCAGAGCAGCTGCTCTGCAAACCCTCCCTCCTTCACCAGAGTGTGAAAACACCAGAGTGTGAAAACACCAGAGTGTGAAAACACCAGAGTGTGTTTCCAAGCAAGAAAATCGACGCACACCTGCGCTGCTTTCATCTGAAATCCCAGCCTTCGCTTCCCCCACAGCTTCATAACCCGCCCTTGCCGCAGCTCCGTGCAGAAATAAACTACGGGGCTGGCACCAACTCTGGTCTCAGCACGCTTCCACTTCCTCGCAACGGCCGTCTCGGCTCAGGGAACACACCCACGCGGGTTCCTTGTGCGCAGCGAGGCTTTGGGCTCAGGAAGGCACCTGTTCCGTCTCGCTTCTAAGGAGGGGACTCCAGAAATGTCGGACAAAGCGCACGTTTGACGATTCGCCAGAAAACAGGGAGGCTGCGTCTCCTTTGCATAAAACGAAACGGGACCCTACAGCTGCTCGCCCCTTAAATAAAAGCGCAGCCTCAGGAAACCTCAAAATGCAGCCAGAGCAGCGCAGCGCCGTGGCCAACGACGCGAGCGATTCCAGCGTACACAAAGGGGACGGGACCCCGACATCTGTCAGAAAAGCGTCTGCCAAGCATCTGGCTTCCATCGGGACAGGGGTGGGAGTTACCTGCAGGCACTGCAGAACGTGCCAAGTAACCCAAGAGCTGCCACACTTTGTGTTTCTCTCGCTCACCCTGTTGAAAACTGAAGGTAGCACGACCCCTCCTCAACTCTCAGCGCTTCAACCCACATCCCCCTCGTCCAGGCAGACGGCCGTCATGTGCCGATCGCTCCCTCCTGCCCCAGATTCCAGCCTCGGTCCCCACACAGACCGAATCCTGCCCGTGTGGGACGGGAGCTGGGAGCAACTTCCCCGTCCCAGCCTGAGGGGCTTCAGCTCCGAGCTCGCCCGCACCACGGCCGGGCTCGGCTCCAGAACAGATTGTCTGGGACAGCACCTTGGTCCAGGCAACTGTAAAAAATGTTCTCTGACGCCTCTTAAGGAACAAAAAAAAAATAGAAAAATCAACCTTCTCCTTCCAGTTCCACCAGCAGGTTCTTCTATAACGTCCTTTGGAGTCCAAAATGAGATGGCTCCATCAGCCGCGTTGGTATTTATGTCCAACAGCTCGTAGTGCTCAAGATCAGAGCAAAACCTTCACCAGGCAAAGAGAGAATGTTCTCCCGTACAAAAGGAGCGCTTCAGCAACGGTCTAACGAGGTGTCCAGTGTGAAGATGTCACCCGAGCTTTAATTCTCCCTCAGTTTGCAGAGCACAATCACGAGCTGTGGATCCTACGCACGTGGAGCCAGCGAAGAATCTCTCTCATCCTCTCAAGAAAAAAATCTATTCACGCGCACATAAGACTCATTTATGCACATCCATAAATTATGTCAAGAATTGTTTATCTCAAGAGCTACGTTTCTGTGCCCTCTGCTTGGGGGTACAGACACGCATTTCCCTATGGATCAGGACAGAATCTGAAATCCTACATTTTGAACAAAGCCCAAACGCAGAACTCTGTCCAGAACACACCCCGTGACATTTGACGTCAATTAGTCTGGAGCTCCAGCTCTTCAGAAGAAACTTCCACACCTCACCAAAAGCCTGAAGCTCTCCAGTTGAAGACCACCAGGTAAAGGAACCGAAAGCTGCGCAAAGGAGGTTTCCAACTTCCCAGAAGAGGCTGAGTCCTCTGTCTGCCACATCGCTGTCCGCTTGCAAACATAAAACGCTTCTGCAGCTACTTCTGCCTTACAAACACAGACAGCTCCTACAGCAGCACATGCGAAAAGGCTCCAGGAAAAGCACGGAGCAGCCGTAGTTCAATGAATTGGAAAAGACGCGTCTGTTCTCAGAGTAATTTCACTCGTTCACGTAGACACGAGCCAGGGACGCGACCTCCACGTAACAGCTACTCAGAACAGCACAACACGTGCTCCAAGAATACTCAAATACGCTGTGTCTTGGAGGGGGAAAAAAAAAACACAACTAAAGGATAAATAATTTAATAAATCATCCTTAGAAATTCAGTGTGACGTTTAGGAATAGCCTAAGTGGGAGCCTTGCAGTGACAGGGGACAGGTCATGGCCAGATAGTCCAGACCAAGGCAACAAAAACCTCACGTTTGTGCCTGATGTAGGGCAACAGCACCTCCCCAGGACGAGGGGACAGCCGGGGACAGCAACTCCTACACTCTCACTTCTGCATCCAAGCCCAGCTCTACCGTGCCACCACGCTGTCTGTTGAGAACATAAAAAAACCAGCCCCGAGTGTCACCGCACGCGCTAGGGAGGGGAATCACCGAGCGAGCGTTTCCATCCCTCCCAAGCTGCAAACACTCCCCGCAGCATTTCACTGCGAGCCGTGCCCAGCTCTCGGTTGCTGCCAGAGGTGGTGAATCAGGAGCCCGACACGAGCCGTTCCTTTGCACCTGCTCCCGGCCACCAAGGCCGTCCTGCCAGTCACCACCTGATGGGCAGCGAGGAGGCGAAATGGGTTTTAAAGTGACGGCTCTTGGAGCCTTCCCTGTCAAAGCAGTGAACGGTTCTCTGTGTCCGTTTGTAAGCCAGGATGACACAAAGCTCACAAACACTTCAAAAGCTTCCTCTGAAACACAGGGGCGGCTGCTATTTGTGTTTTAGGATCAAGAGTGGTCAAGTAGCTCCAACACCGAGCTGACCGAAACCCGTATGATTTACCCTGGCCCAAGTTATTCCAAAACAACGGTCAGGACGTCAGATTACTGGTACCATCAAGGTAAAACCGTAACATTCCCTTGGAGAGAGAATAAAACCTACTTCCAGTGCCTAAGTTTGCTGCCGACTGTATAAAAAGCCCACCAAAAAGCAAAAATTAAACCAGCTGTCCTTAAGCCATGCGGCAAACAGGATTTACTGCAAAGGAAAAGCTTTGCAACTCGGGAGTTTAGCCCAGCCAGCGCGAAGTAAACGGCTCAGGACAACTCTTCCTCCTCCCGCAGCTCACAGACCTCCAGGCAGCGTGAAGATTCGTGTTTTCTGCCCCGGATTCTGATGAAGCCCATCCCGTTAAGCCTCCTCTGGCATCCACCAACAGAAAATGCCCAGCCCAAAGCGAAATTCCGAAAGCCGCGCTCGCATTGTTTGTGCCGAGGCAGCGCGTCGTTACGCCGGTGGCTTTTTTACGGTTGCTTCCCCTGGAAGCGGGGCCCCGCTTTAATGCACCGCACACAAATTAAACGATCTGCCGTGAAAATGATGACAGAAGCACGAATCTCCCCACCAGAGCTTCGAAAGTCAAACGAAACGAGGCCAAGGTGTGCTGAGGACACCCGTTCTCAACAGACTCTTGTTTTCCTTGGCGCGGCTCTCGGCTACGGCCACAGTCAAGCCCTTGGCCTCCGCTTCCCGGCTGTGAGTTAAAGTCTTAGGAAGGTCTGTGATTAAACATTTGTCCGGGTCACCATAACTCGGGGGTAATTACCGTGAGCGCTCTTTAAAAGAGCGCGCAATGCGCAAAACTGTCTGCAGACGCCTCTCCCCTGCCCCGCCTCTGCTTTTCCATCAGCTTCTTCTGTAAATCAACAACATGGAAAGAAAAATCACTGAGGTCTAGGGCAAGCTCCTGCGACTGCAACACCGACACCATTTCGGTTCCTCCCTGCAGTCACAGACCCTTTTTCCTTCGCCTGGCTCAAACCTGTACAAAAACACGAACTATTTTAACAGAGTCTGCATTGTCCTTTGTATCAAAAGCGCCGGCTGGCCCTGGGAAGTCTCATAAAGGAGTTTCGGCGACTGCCAATCCCTCGGGTGGCTCGTGACCGTACAATGCGCCTCCTGTCCTCCGGAGCTTATTACTCCGCTCGAGTCACCGATTTGCAGCAGTCCAGGTGCTCAGCGACTGCGTCGCAGCAGCGGCACGGAGGAGGGAGACGGGAACCTCCGGCAGGTGGCTGGGGCAGGAGGTCCAGCCCGGTCCAGCAGATCTTGCCTGTCAGAGACTAAACGAGCCCGAGCAGGCAGCGGGCTGGTGCCTTCCCGGAGAAAAGCAGCTCTCAGGTGGAAGTCACAGTAATTAACACTGGCACAAAAACCCTCGATGTTTAGAAGAGACTGAGGGTTTTAAACTTCTTTTTTTTTAAAGTCAGCATCTTGGTACAGCAGAAGGAAAATATTGAAGGAGGATACGGAAAGACAACTGACGTCTTGCAGCCAACACAAAATCCAGGCTCGCTCAGGGCAGCCCTGGCTGCCTTTCGAAAGCCGCGCGTAACTAAAGAGATCCTCTCGCCATCCTACCGGAATCTTCCAGAAAGAAAGGGGACAAATCTTACAGATAAAACCCACCTGTCTGGGTAACAGGCTGTGACTTAAAAGCGAGCCTGAACTCCAGCTGAATGGTTTGTATTTTGAACTGAAAGCTCTGCTGCCGTCCAGCGAAGCTCAGGAGGGTTCCCGGTAATTACACACTTACGCAGTCGCTGTTTCACAGGGCGCAGCAGGAGAAGAGATGTTTACACAACACCTCACAAAATCAACTTTTTCGTGCCTGACTGGGACTACCGGGTCTCTAAAGGAGGCAGGACATGCAGCACGCGCTGACCCGCGGGCGTACCTGTCTGGTAAGGCTCCCTCCGAGGTTCATGGTACCAGAACCGGTTTTATTAGTCTGCAGCCACAGCATCACTGTGGAGGTCAGCTTGTAATGAGCGGTACGGCCACTGGATTTCTCCTAGAAGTGGGAGGAGAACAAAAACAGGGAGACAAAAGGTTAAAATCCCTCCAAAAACGAACCGGCGGCCAGCCTGGAAGCAGCCCCCAGCAGCAGGACAGACACGCGTAACTCCACTCGCACAGCACGGTCTGCAGCTTAAAAACAATTTGAGGTGTGCACACTCCCTTAATTTTCCCAAGCAAATCTAGTTAGGGCAATTTAACCTCTTATTACCTTGGGTTTATTACCTAATTAGCGATATTTATCTGTAGATCTTTATATAAAAAAATAATAATAAAATATAATAATCTCAGGATCACAAGCACAGAAAGTAACATACTTCCAATTCTTCTGGGATTCTTTTTGATTACAGCCCCGACTTATCTCTATCCAAATTGCTTCGGGGAATTTTCCAAAATTAACAGGGGAAAGAAGTTTACGGCCCCTAACACAATATTGCATTGTTCGGTGGAACACCTGTGCTCGTTAATTGTCTGGAATTAAGAGGGTTTTGCTTTCACTCGGGTCTATCAGCTGCCCCAGAGGCTGTACCTGAACCTCCACCACGTGGATGGAATCCCAGCATCCCTTAATCTTCTTTGATCCGTCTCCAGCTTTCTTAATGAGGATCACCCCGGCAAAACCATGATCCAGATCCCAGAGGTAGACAGAGGAGACTCCACCTTCAAAATACCTGCGGGACGCAATCCGACAGGCGCGTTAAAAGCCAGCGGGACCCACGCCGGGGTCAGAAGCAGCAACAATCTTCAATAAGCAGATCCTAGTCAAGACTCTTTTTTTTTAACCGGTTACCCACCTCCACGCACAGCAGGTTAAATCATTTTATAACACTGAGGCTTTCATTACAAAACCTGTGCATTTCTCTAAAGGAGAATAAAAGTTGAGGGAGAAACAGAGCTTGCTACAGATTTCTACAGCACTTGAGCAAACGACTCCTCTGATTCCAATTAATGTAACAGCTGGTAAAAGCACAAGCTGGGAAGGAGGCTGAGAGCGAGGCTTGATTTTACGGTTTGGGTTTTGGTGTTTCGGGTTTTTTTCTTTTTTTCTCGCTCTTGGGAAAGCCCGGAAGTTCTTTACAACAAAGTCCCCTAATTAAGGCAGAAAGGAGAGCAAATAAGCTTTATGCTGCTGTCCCCTAAGTTTGTGCCTTGATTTATGGCAAATAGAGTTGAACTGACACCAAGGGTCTGAGAAACGAAAGGATGCTGTCGAGGATTCCAGATCCTTCCAGCTCCAGATGAAACAGGCTACATCACCGACCTCTCGGGTTTCTGGCAGCAAAAGGCACAGTTAGAAAATCTACAAAGCAACGACATCTCCAGAACCCGAATCCTTTACACCACGAGCGCTCAGCTCCCACGTGATTTAACGCGACGGGAACCAAGGCGAGGCTGTGGGAAGAAAGATGCGCAAGAACCAACGTTGGCTTCTAGAGAACCGAACCCGTAACCTGCAGCATCCTGCCAACTGCTTCCAGCCTCCAAACAGCCACCAGGAGAAGGGGGCAAAAGGGAACAAACAGTATTCCGTGGCACACGACTCCAAGATCTCCCCGACGACACTGCGCGCGATCGCCACCTCCTGCAAAGAGCTACAGCAAGGAGGTGAGGTGGCTTCAGCTGAGCCAGACCGGTGACAGGACATTTCAGCAGTCCGATATCCCTACTCTCTCCTGAGCACCTCCTGCCGCTCTGCACAGACGGACCCAAAGCCGGCAGAACACCTGGGAATTCGCCGTCTGGAGAGCAACAGCTCCTCAGCCCAAGCCAGGAGGAAGCCGCTGGGATTGACAGTTCCCAGCAGCTAAACCGAGAGTCACGCAGATAAATTGTTCTGCGTCCCTGCCTCTCGCTGCCACGAGCGAGATGATCCCAAAGATCTGCAAGTGGCTGCACGTTTCTCCTCTTCTGCAAGAAGGGAAAGTATCACTCACCACCAACGTGAAAAACTCGTTGAACCCTCCTCTCTTGCGCACTCCCCTCCTTTCTAAACACGAGCCGGACAGTCGTTAATGGCATTTCAAATGTGATTTACCGCGCACCTCGGACTTCATGTATTAGCTACAAGAAGTGCAGATTCAGGAATACTGACCCACCTTCTCCAGGAGCAAAGACACTGGGAAGTTCGTGCAAACAACACGGGCGGCATTTTCTCTGCACTTAGAGCCCGGCCCAGTGTTGTTTCAGGGTGACAGGGTCACCAAAAGAGCCCCAACTCCGTTCAATCGCAGGCGCCCGAGTCTGTACCGAAGGCAAGTGCTGACCCCAGGAGGGGCAGCGGCTTCGTATCACTCACCACACGGTTTGATTTTTAACGGGTGACTCCTGCAAGCTGAGCCTGGGCAACCCACACCCGCGGCACTGCCCTGCGGCTCCTGTCAGGGCAGCGCTGGCTGGAAAAGGAAAGCCCTTTGCTCCCCAGGCTCCCAGCAGGCAGCTTCAACCCAGCAAACACCCTTCTTACATCCCCCAGGCAATTCACAAACGGATTTTGGTTAAAGCCATCAACAGGAGCTTCGGTCCTGCAGGGAACCTCAGTTCCTACCGAAGCGACCCTTCCTTTGACAAAACGGCGGCAGGAATCAAAGGCCAGAGAGCAGAGGCTGTGGTCCGTTTCCAGACTGAGTTTGATTAAAAAAATAAGGGAATTTACTCCAAATGAACCAGCAGCCGCTGAGAATATCACAGACAGTTTCCCTATTACCCACTTTAGGAGCTTGTTACGAGCATGAAACATTAATGAAGAGAGGGACCGAAACAAGGGGTTTGGAAATTTATTCTTACCTACTGGGACTTTGATCCTAAGGACATGAAACGGGAATAAAATAATTTTTATGTCGTTCACCTTTATGAGATTTTACATAAAGGCTTTTGTGGGTATTTTAAGAATGTGCTAAAATGTTGTCTGAAACCACATAAAACCATCTGAAGAACCTCCCGCCAGAACTAACAGCGCACACATGGAAACGCTTTAACGTGCCTTTGTGTATTTAATGAATCAAATGTAGTATTAATATTGTTTTAAATACCAACATGCTATTTCAATAAAGCTGCTCCACCATAGCCAGATCCAGTATCTGGAGACTCGAACACCACCGCCAGCGGCTGAACCGTTCCGAATCCAAAGCACGCCGGGCTAGACACAAGCCAAAGCCTCCCCTGCGCTTCAGTAATATATAATCCCAGTGAAAAATTCACTCCTCCTTCGCGGGGAGAAAATACAGACCCTTGATCACAACGTCAGACTTCACCTCTCCTCACGCAGCAACTGAAGTGGGATTTCTGGAGACCACCTAAACCCAGGGAAGTCGTCTTCGGTGAGAGGAACGTTCCCCCAAACGCCTTTTCTTCAAGAAAAACGAGGAAGTGCTACAGGTTAATTGGCTGCTACGCAAGAGAAAAGCAGCTGACAACAGAGAGATTGATAGGAATCAAAATCTACAGTCGGGAACTTGGATTTGCTGCAAGAAGGCTGGACCGCCTCCACGAAACCCTTCACCACACGTTGTTGAAATCCAAGCAGGAGAGGTAACCAGCTTGGAAAAGGCAGAAGCTCACATCTGCTCTGTCAAAGGGACGGACGGGCAAAGCAGTTACACCCAGGAGTTGTGGCAGAACACTTTTAAAGCTCCTGAACCAAATGTAATTTTCTTTCTGGGGAGGGACTTTTTCCAAGAGTCTCCAGCCATGGGACAAGGGGAAATGGATTTAAGTTAAAAGAGAATAAATTTAGATTGGATCTTAGGAAAAAATTCTTCAGTCCAAGGGTGGCAAGAGTGTGGAATAAATTGTCCAGGCAAGTTGTGGCTGCCCCCTCCCTGCAGGTGTTCAAGGCCAGGTCGGATGAGGCCTTGAGCAACCTGGGCTGGTTAAGGGCGTCCCAGCCCAGGGCAGGGGGTTGGATGAGATGATCTCTAAGGTCCCTTCCAACTTAGACCATTCTGTGATTCTTTAGCGCCCACCCCTGCTCGTTGTGCGGTGTCCTCCTGCACAACAGCGGCCGTAAAAGGCAACCTGTGTCCTTCAGAAGCTTGAGTCCCCTCCCGAAGCACCCAAAGCACCCAGGTGATGCTTCCGAGATGTCCAAGAGGCCTGAAGTAGGAGGAAAACTCCAGTTCAGAAATGTCCCCAAAGGACAAACCCTTCCCAAAGGGCAGCAATTTCAAAGCAAAGCAACCTCTCCTCTGCTGAAGGACGCAGATCTGTCCAGGACGTACTCTGGCTTTACCTGCAGACACAAGCTTGTCACAAAACAAGGAAAACCACAGTCTCGTGCTTGTCGTGTCTCTCCGTTAACAACCACAACCCCTCGAATGGTATCACAGAACGGTTTGGGTTGGAAGGGACATTCAAAGACCATCTAGTCCCCACGAGTTCCCTGCCTTCTCCGAGGACGGACGGTGTTCTGCCATCCCCAGTAAATTCACTTTCTCTGAAGCTGCCCAGGGAGGTGACCACAAGGCCCCAGACCCAAACGTAATCGTTCTTTCTCTTTACCAAATTCAGAGTAGCATTTCACTCAAAATCAATTCTAGTTTTAACGTCACGATCAAACGCTTGAGTTTTATACCCGTTACTCATCAACCACAGAACTCCTGGAAAAAAGCTGTTTTACACAAGAAATGTCACACTTAAGGCTGACCTACTTTACGGATGCAAGAATAAAAGAAAATATTTAAGCTAAGAGTGATCCAAAGCTTTATGAAGTGTTTGAAGTTTAAGCGGGTGGAGACACAGGATGGAAACTTGTTTAAAGAGCTCGAGCCGTATCCATGAAGCCGAGAGCCTGTGGCCAGAGCAAAGCTCTAACTTCAAGAGAGACGGGACAGGGGAGGAAATCCTCCAGCTTCCAGCAGAGACCTCAGGAAAGGAGGGCAGCGGAATCACTTTGCTCTGCCACTAAAGGATAGAGCAGGAAAGGCACCGCAACTCTCCCGAGAGCTTTTTTGCTTCTCGCAAGCCTCGCAAACAAACGCCGGACCTGAGTCTGAGCAAACGAGTTTCCACCACACGGCAATAAAAACAAGCTGGGACTTTCAACTCCAGCTCCGAACCAAATCACTCGTCCCTAAAGGCACTCGTGTCTGTTCCAGGAACCGAGAGCCAGAGACAGAAACCCAGCCCGTGGCTCTGGCTCCTGGCTCTCGCAACACGAAGCCTTGAAATCCTGATGCCAAAGAATCGATACCTGGAACCTCAGACCAGCCAAAAAGAGCCGTGAGCTGTTTCAAACTGGCTCGTTTCAAGCAGCAAAATATATTTTGTTTTCTTTTTTTCCCCTCCTAAAGGTTGTACAGTGATTTCTTCCAGCTACAGGAGTTCAGCATGGAAACGTCTCCGTCTATTTAGATCAACAGACTCCCAACAAAGCTGTCATTTCAAAATCCCACCCCAAAGGAAAACACTGAGCATTCAGCTCCGAAGGTTTTTACAAGAGTGACAATGAATAAAGTCAATCCGAGAAGCCAGTGTCCGACAGCAACCCAAAAGCGTTACCTAAAAGACCGGGTGAGGCCACAGACATTTCAACCACCCTTAAAACCCACCGATGGCAAGTGACTGGGTGCAATTCGCACTGAGTCCTTCCTCTGTGCCTGCACTCTGGCACTTCCAACCAGCCCAGAAATAGTGATGGAAACAGGAAGGAAGAGGCAAACCTCAGCGACCCACC